GCGAGAGGCACGGTTGTGCTTTTGCGAGAGTCACGGCCGTGCCTCTCGGAAAGTGAAAAACAAAACGCGTTTTCTGTTTTTTTTTCTTTCGTGAGAGTCACGGTTTTGCTTTCGCGAGAGGCATGGTTGTGCTTACGCGAAAGTCACGGCCGTGTCTCTCGAAAAAGGAAAAAAATACGCGTTTTCTGTTTTTTTTCTTTCAGGACAGTCGCGGTTTTGCTTTCGCGAGAGGCACGGTTGTGCTTTCGCGAGAGTCACGGTCGTGCCTCTCGAAAATAGAAAAAAAACATGTTTTCTATTTTTTTTCCTTCCACAAGAGTCATGGTTTTGCTTTCACGAGAGGCACGGTTGTGATTTCGCGAGAGGCACGGGCGTGCCTCTTTCGGAAAGGGAGAAAAATCGTGCTCCTGGTTCGGTTTTTTCTCCTGATTTTTTTCGTCCGGTTTTTTTCATGAAAAAAAAGTTTGTCAAAACCTATCAACGTGGGATCTAATTTTGAAGATCTCGACGCGAGGAATCCAATGGTGAAAATGGTTCGAGATTTGGACGCACGGTTTAAGAGATAAAACGTTTTGAATAAACAGATCTACGAAAAAAGGGAAAACTCTCATGTTGCGACAAGTGGCGCGCTGCATATGCGCCACTTGTCGCGATCTGGGAAAGTGAAGTGTTCTTTGCAACGAGTACTCCTTAATTAGTGATTTCGATAAGAAGGGGCTGAACCGAGGCAGGCATCAAGCCGCCCATTTTTATCAATCTTACACTTAAACTTGTACTCCCTCCGTCTCAAAATAAGTGACTCGAGTTTATACTAACTTGTACTAAAGCTAATACAAAGTCGAGTCATTTATTTTGAAACAGATGGAGTAGATGAAAGCTAAATCAGACGATGAACTTTCAATCCGGAAATTGGCACATAGGACTCCGTGATCCCGGTCTATTTTAAACTTGAGAGTGTTCCCAAAAAGGGATTGTTGACTGCGGTTGTGAATGGGCCGGCCCAACATACGCGAAGCTTTTTTTCTGTGACAGGCGAGGTAAAAATACTATAAAAGAGGATCACTGCAACTGGGCCGGCCCAACTGATGCGACGTTATTTTTTACTTTTACGTAACTGGCGAAGTGATAAAAATACTGAAAAAAAGAGAAACTCTGCTAGATTCGAAACTTGTGATCTGGAGATGCTAAACTCCTCCCGCCAGCCACTATAAACATTGGCTGTTACAGCAATAAAAAGAGGCGTGAACTATTTAACCACACACTGCAGCGTCGAGATTTGAATTTTTTGTAAGGCCAAACAAATATTGAAACAGGGCAGGCCCGAACTATTTTTGAATCATCCAATTTTTTAAAGTGCGTACACTTCTGAAAATTCTGAATGCGTTTTTATATAAAAATGAACATTCTTGTAAAAACACAATCAATTTTGGAAAAGTGAACATTATTTGAAACGTTTTTTAAGGGAACAAACATTGAAACCTGAGTAAACTTTTTAAAATGTTTAAACAATGTGAAGAAAATGTCCGTATAGTTTTCTAAAATGTAAATAATGTATTTGGAAAAATATTAACGTGTCATATTTTTCAAAAAATATTTTTAGAATTTCGTAAATTATTATTGCAAATGTTTCAAAAAAACAAAAAAAAATGATTTCATATATGAACACCTCTATATGTTCTTATATACAATGCGTGATATATAATCACTAGCAGCCTTCAGGGCGATTGGCTAGTTCCGGCCGCTGCGAGTGTGCGGTCACGATTTCGTGTCCTCTCAAACTCTGGGATATATAATCACTAGTAGTTTTTGCCTGCTCCTAATAGAGGACAGCTCAGGGATATAAAACCACTAGTATTTTTTGTCGCTCCTAATAGAAGATAAATGGGTTCTTGTATTTTGAAAAATATTTATTTTTATTACAAAAATATAAAAAGAAAGAAAACAAAAAGAAAAAAGAAAGAAAAAAACAGAACAGAGCGAGGGCACGAGCAACTGCTCTAATGGGCCCGGCCGATTAGTCCTAATGTCCTTGCCACGTCAATGAATACCAACGAAATTCCTTCAAGCTTCAAAATAGATCGGAATTAGAGAGTTCGGTGTGCTGATTTCCGGAATTGTAAGTTCAGGGTTCTAGCTTTTGTCTATATAAGTTTAAGGTTTGCTTTGGACCTTTTCTCTGCCACTATGACCAGCCTAACGACGTGATGTTGCCACGGAACCACATCAATGGCTTGAAAAGGTGCTCTGCGCTGCGTGGCGATTAAACTTTGTACGTGACGCCTACCAGTTGACACCCAACGACCAACCGTGCTCAGCAACCTTTAAGACGGGCCCTGCGACGCCCCCGCCAAATAAGTGCGCGTACCATCATTTTGAGCTCCACTCGTACACGTTTCGGTGAGGACCGTACAAAGCCAACGAGGATCAAAATCAAACGGCCATACTTGCGTACGGCGGAATCCACCAAACATGAACGGTGCCTTGTTAATTTATATGGGCGCCATCACAAGCATTCATACGTCGCCGGTCTGCACTCTCGTCAGACTCGGACCCGGGTGGTTTGAAGATGTGTCGGCCTTTTTGAAGGAGCAGTGCAAGTTAATACTCTGCTGTGCTCTGCGGCAATACGAAATCAGTAATGGCCACCCGTCCGTCCGTCATCACCATCCGTTGCCTGATCTTCTTTGCTTGTGCAGCAGCTCGGGTACTGCTTTCAGCGGAGCTGCACAGTGTATGGTACGGAAAAACATGGCAAGAAAACGCACCTCGTGGCACCGAACGGAAGGGGAAGGAGATGGGTGCAAAGTGCAAACCACCAGAAAGAGCAAGGTGTCGAGATAAAGATAATTCCTCTTGAACCTTGATCACTTTCGGGGCTGGTGGCAGTATACCAGGACAAGTGGGAGACAGCGGTGAAGATAGGGATGGCAAAGATTGAACCCTAAATTAATGACGGTACATTTAACGTTCCGGTCATACACATGTCAAGATCGCACATAGTTCCCCGGAGAAGAGCCATGCTTACGATATCGGCCATTCCCATTACCACCACAAAGACCAGCAAGCTAAACATCCGATCGATGTGTCACTGGATGACGAAGCCTTTCGAAACCAGGGGCAAGCCATAAATCTAGAAGCACTGCTAGGTACGTAGAACCGATCGATGTACTACGGAGTATGAAAACTGAGAAAACCTAGAAGAAAGCAGTACTAAAACAATAGCAGAAAGCAGTACTAGAATGGACTGGACAGACGTCATTTCCTCTTGTCCGTAACCATGTTTCAACACATGGTCCGGCCGGCGGCCGGAAGGTGGTGTCCTGAAGCACGTAAAGCGGCATGCGGTGTCAAGTTCGCGCTTGCCCCCAACCAACTCCCAACTATCAGCGCGACGGGGCGACTGTGCCACCATTTTCCACACTCCATTAGTGCCCCCGGCCCCTTCCGACTTGCCACGCTCAACGTTGCGACCGCGATGCCCGCATATCATGGTGTCATCACCAGCACGCCCGCATACCGGATTCGTAGCCCCCATGGCCATGGCCCATGGGGACGGCTACCACACTGCCCCTGTTCACCGATCTTGACGAGCAGCAACCCGGCAACGTAGCCTAGCTCGTAGCCGCCCCGTGCAGCGTATGTACACTGGCCAGCATGGCTGCTACAGCCCTCAATAAGTGCTTTGGGCAATACACAGGCATCCAGCAACCACCGGAGATGGACGACCATTATGGGGGCCGGTGCGGTCCATGGACCGGCAGTTCGGCGTTCCGGTCGGAAATCGGCATCGGAAAAACTGATACTCGATCCTACCTTACCCTCTCTAGCATGCGTAGCAGGCTAGGGCTAGCACGTGTGAAGTGGTCAGGCGGCGAGCGAACGACCGACCTCGCAGTCACGCTCGCCGCCCGCGCAACCGTCCGCTGCCGGAGAAGAAGACGTGGAGGCGCGCGCCACGCTGCCGGTGGAGCCGTATCGGCATGGGGCGCGACGACGGCGACCGACATTCAATCCCATCGCGCGCGCGAGGCGGGGACGGTTGATCGACTCCATCGACCACGTCGTTTTTCGTATGCAGGGCAGGTGCAACTCTGGCTACGTACGTATGGCCGGCGTACAGCCAGTTCTGCACCGTACTGTACTTACGTATTTTACGTACCTGCACCCGGCGGCGACTCAGTGATGCATTGCTGCTACACTCCTCCACTGTAGGAGTGGTGCATTGCTTGCGTCGGGGCAGTTAATAGATCGAGCTGTGCAAATTAATTCCCCGCAACCACCTACATCTACTCTCTGACCTGGTTCTATAAATATCGGCGTTCGTGCTCGGTACAAGGACACATCTCCTCTTTGTGGCAGTTCCAAGTGAGCAGATCATCCTCACATTGCGAGCTGTCGTCAGTTTCCTCATTGGTGCCCTCCATGGATAGGCTCGTCGCCGCCGGCATCCTTGGCTTTCTACTGGTCAGTTCCTCACTACCATGCCCTTCGTTTTCCGTCCCTAATTTATTCATCATCTCCAACACACCTGCATGTAGACGTGGTTGTGTTCTTCATTTCTCCTACTCTACTTCTCGTGGGAGGCATATTGCTCTGCTCTATTGTTCTTCCTAGCTAGTTCCATGCTTATTCGAGTAGCAACCAAAACATATGGTGCTCTACATCTGAAAAAAAGGAAAAGAACAACATAGCGATTTATACTAATTTAAAGAGTATAAAATGGTGTTTACATGAAGAAGAATACCCAAAATAATAGTGTGCTATGTGCTATGCCTCGACTGAGATTTAGCAATCTCGTTCCTATTAAGCTAGTACTATGTGCTAAAAAGTCGATTACGTGAAAATCAAAAGCTTTATGTGTGACATATACAAGGTGTTCAACCTGTAGGCTACTGTGATTTTGCTAGATTTGTTAAGCTGGTATATGTTTCTACCAGTCCCGTGATAGAGCAAAGGGATCAAGGTTCGAGAGTGACAGTACACTATTATGTGTATACATCATGAGAGGAGCAATTTTTTTCATCAAAGTGTTAATCGCTGATGATCTCAAATACTCCGTCGAAACTGACCATATAATTTGCATGCAGATTGCGTCGGTAGGAAGCCATGCCCATGCAGCTCGTGCTCCGGAGCAATACTGGAAGTCTGCTCTTCCCAACACCCCTATGCCAAGCTCCCTCTCTCAACTCCTAAACAATCAAGGTATACTACTCTACATCTCTTAAGCAAACAGCTTCGGTACACGGGAAAGCATTGACCCTTCTCCGCCTCTCCCTGCTTTCCACAGCCGGAGGCACGTCGGTGAACGTCGGCTGGGGCGGTGTCCATGTCGACGCGGGTCATGGGATGCCCGGCGGCACGACGGTCGATGTTGGCAAGGGTGGCGTCGGCGTCAACGTCAAGCCTGGCAGCGCCAAGCCCGGCGGGACTACGGTCGGCGTCGGCAAGGGCGGCGTGGGTGTCAACGTCAAGCCTGCCTACGGCAAGCCCGGGGGCACAACCGTGGGCGTTGGCAAGGGCGGCGTGGACGTCAACGTCAAACCTGGCAGCGGCAAGCCCAGCGGCACGACGGTCGGCGTTGGCAAAGGCGGCGTGGGCGTCAACGTCAAGCCTGGCTACGGCAAG